CACAAACGTCAAATAGCAAACTTCCACACATTCCTTGTAGAATGTGTGGAATTTTTTATTTGAAGTTTGTAGAATGTGTGGAATTTTTCTTTTTGACAATCGTGGAATGTGTGGAATTTGACGTTTGTGGAATGTTTACTTTTTGACGTTTTTTGAATGTGTTGAATGTTTGCATTTTAACGTTTCTGGAATGTTTGTATATTGTAGATCAATATTCATATTCAAAATTCTTCTGTGTGTGAGTTTTCATGAAAAGGCAGTGCGTTATATCTAAGACGATATTCTACTTTTTAATCAAACTTTATTTGTATGTTTGGTTGCCTCCACTTTAGGCGCAAAACGAGTAGTGATAGCTAGTGCCATCTGTTAGCAATAATGCATAGGTTGAAGTTCAGGCATTTTGGCGCTGCTCAAAGTCCATTTCTTGATGAACGTACTAATTTGATTAAACAAACATTGCTAATTAAAGATTGGTTTATTATAATTACAGGAAAGCAATCAATAAGTAATAATAGTTATTAGTTTTTAAGATATGAACATTCTAATTATTCAAATCAGCGCCATCTGTCGCTAATTAAAATAACACTTATTCGGTATCGAATTTGGCGACATCTATCGGAGAATAGCAAAACCTTATTCTTCAGTAACGTGTTACGAATTTAAAATAAAAATTCAATATTACTCGAAACAATAAAATTTATTTATATAATTACACAAATAGTTCATAATATTGCACACAATATGACGATACAAGGGTACAGTTGGATCCTGCTAAAAAAGAAACACTTTAGTACCTATCTACAGTTGCTATATATTGAAATTAACATTTTTCTTCTTAATATTTTTAATTTCCAGTAATTTCACAGCAACTGGTATTTAGAAATGTTATCCAATGTCTAAGAATCATAGAGGAGGCAACAATACACTGATACATGCCATTGGGTTCTCCTAAAATAATGAAGTTTTAGTCACACTCAACGGATGAGATGAAAATTTACATTTTTTGATTTTTCCAGTATTTTCACAGCAACTTGCATTTAGAAATGTTATCCAGTGCCTAAAGGTCACTGAGGAAGCAACAATACATAGATAGGTGCCATTGGATTCTCCTAAAACAATAAACAGTTTTAGTCACACTCAACGGATGAGATGAAAATTTACATTTTTTGATTTTCCAGTATTTTCACAGCACCTGCCACTCAGAAACATTATACTGTCTCTAAGTATTGTAAAGGAGACAACAATACATTCATAGTATTGTGCACCTCCTTAAAGAAGTAATATTATTAGTCATAGTCCTAAAAGAATAAAAGTTTTACCATTTGATTGTTAACAATTCTACTATTTACCTTTTGACTATTAACTGTTAATGCAATTACATATATTCGCTTTCTGTGTGTTCCATCGATGTAAAGAGATTTGTAGTATTATTCATAGTCACCTCCAACGTCTCTTGCATCTCTCCTAAAGTTTAATTGATTTAGTGATCAACGATTAATATGTTTCATTGGTACTTACCGAAACTGCATTGCATTGTTCAATGAAAAGTTTTCCATACTAGTATGTAGGGAACAGAGCAGCACATCCTTCATTAACTTTGATTTAGAACATTGCAGAATTAAGAGAAATTGCATTAAAGTCCCTTTGTTGATAAATTGTGACAGTAATGACAGTTTACTCACTCACACATACGTAGTGGCTGCAACCAATCAGAAACGAGCGCGCGCTTTTTTGAATTCTGATACCTCCTCGCTACTCCTGGTGAAAATCGAAATTTTCGGTCATTTTAGAGAATCTTGAAGGGGGGGGACTTGCAATTCGCGATAAACGCAGTATCAGCATTAAAGTTTAATAACTTTCTTATTAATTGACCAAAATTAATGAATTTAGTAGCAATGGAAAGAGGAAGAATCCTTCTTTAGGATTATGCAATTATACTCTTAAAATAATATGCAAAAAATCGTGGGGCAGAGTTTAAAATTGAAAAATATAATTTTTGGTCAATTATTAAATTGCTCGGCGACTTTACGTAACTCGATGATCGTTTATGACTCGTTTTAAAGATGATGGTCCAAGCTTTAAAACGCACCCATTTCCAGTTTTGTGGCTGTCACGACGCCAGTGCAGTGAACGTTCAAAATTTCTAATTTTGAAAATAAAAGTTTCAATTATAATTTGTTGTTTAAATATAATGGGAATTCGGAAATATTTTTGGGAATTTCAGAAGAAAAGAATAATCTCTGCGTGGACGACGATCGGCGTTGATGCATTTACAAGAAGCTAAATATCATTAGAATCTATTTTTTATTTATCTTTAAATATTACTTGATTACATAGTATAGGTAGTGTGCTTGTCAGATAAAATATGATATTTACAATGTAAAAAAAGATATATTATATATGTATAATATTAATGAAATAATAAAATTAAAAAAAAAAATAATAAAAAACGAAAATTGTACTTAATACTCTTAGTTTCTTCATTCATTTTTTCATCTCGACTTAATCTTTTCTTTAAAGCTCACTTCTCTCCCTCTTTCTTACATGAAAAGATTTTTTCAACTTTTCTCTGTTTTTTTTTTCTAGTTTTATACAAACATCCTGTATACAATTGATATAATATAATCATCATTTCCGCTTCTCGTCGGATCGACGATCAAAAAATATATATATATTTATTTATATATTATTCAAAGAAAATTAAAAATTTGTCCAATGGGTAAATTTAAAAACAAACAACAAATTATGTATATAAAAATAATAATAATAATTACAATTATATATAGGAAAAAAATAAAAATAAAATGAAATATAGTAAAATAAAGAGACAGACTCGCTTTAATACGTAGAAAATAATAATAAAATTAGAGAATTAAAAAAAAAGAAAAAACAAAAGTTGGGAAAAATGATAACTATCTTAATGTATCCTTAAATCTTATACAATTGTTTTCACGTCATCTTGAAATGTACATTCCTCCTCCTCATCTATTCACTTATTGGTTGTCGTCCTTTTCTTCTTCTGTTTTGCTATTGTATTGTTTTTCCATCGTCAGTCGGCGCCAACTTTGCGAACAAGAAGAAACAATTCAACTTGCGGATGGGCTCGGTGCTTCGTCTCTCCATTTCCAAATCGCGTTTCGTTCCAAAGAATAAAATACAAACAATTCAACGTATTGTTGTTATTCACATAATATACACATCCTTCACCAATATTTCAAAAAAAACAAACAAACAAACAAACAAAATGTATTTAATACTATTTCTGTTCCGTTCCTTTCGTTTCTTTTCGCAACTCTTTCGACGATAATAATAATAATAACAACAATAATTATACAGAAAAAAAAATATATATAAGAGAGAATTAACAACAATTGCAAGTTTTTTTTTCTTTTTATATATATGTACATCGACACAAAGAATGTTACGATTCTTCGATCGGTCAATTTCTTTTAGAGAAAAAACGAAAAGAACAACAAGGATGGTTGGTGTACGCAGACAGAATATACATTATCATCATATTAGGTAGGTAGGTGAGTGTAGTCGTGGATTGCTTTTGCAGGACTTTCGAAGCCTCAGGTTTTTTACTTTTCATGTAAGACAATTTGCAAGAATAACAACGAAAAAAAAAACAAACAAACAATAATAATAATAACATATAAAGTAACACGTGTCAACGATTCGAATTAAAACGTACTTAAATTAAGTTTAATTAATATAAGGAACTTTAATGAACTTGAGCTTGAAAGACCTGTGATTGGATCATGCTTTATTATTTCGTCCTCGTCGGCCCACAATTTGTTAGTTTGCGTTACGGTACGAAAAGTTTACGTTTACGTCCATATTTTGTAATAGTAACAACAACGTTTTGGGGGCCGACGCGTTCAAGGAACTTGGGCTGGGGGGGTTTTAAACAAGGTTTACTTTTCTTTCTCGAGTTATTTTCTCAAGAGCACATATTTTGATGATATATAATATATAACAACGAAGAGGCTATGATAGTATACTACAAACTAAAATAGTCGTGTCGAATCTCTCAATATATTCTCCATATTATATATATATATATATTTTTGTTATTTTTTTTTTGTTTTGTTTTTGTTTGTTAATTGGGTAAATATTCTAACTAAACATTATTAGTTTCCATTTCCATTCGTGGAAACGGAGTACACATGCATTGTACAATATAGCACTGATGATTAACAATTGGTTTCCTTCATTTATATATTTATATATAATACATTTTATTAATATACTTTTTTTTTTGTTTTGTTTAATGTTAATGCTAAGAAAGTTATTACAATCTTCTCAATTCATCAATTTGTATACCTATATAGTGTGTGTGTGTTTAATAGAGTTGAAGATGCATTTGTCGGATGGGACAACATTGAATCCAATCTCTAAATATAATTTATTTACAACGATTCAATATCTTGTCTCACATTTATATAACTCACTTGTAATTTTTTTTCTTGTAATTTATATATATATGTAACATCTTCACATATTCTTTTTTTTGTTTCATGTTAATTATTCCTATCCACGCACATCATATACAAATCTTTCTCACACACACCCACCCTTCATCTCCTCGCACGCTTTTATCATTATTATAATAATATTTATATATATATTTCACTTTGTATTCATCAACCCTTCCATTTCAGTTGCATCTTCTATACGTAATAAAACTATTATCAATATTGCTACAATTGTTTTCTTTTTACTTTAACTTCCTCTCCTGCCTTTCGTTTTCGATCATCCTCCGTCTCATAGAATACAAAAACTTTAATTCCTTACATCATTATTAATAATTTTTTTAATATTTATTTTTAATTATTTTTTTTTCTTAACAGATTTCCTCCAATCTCCAAAAAAAAAAAAGAAAAAAACGATCTCCGCTCGACGTCTCATCACTATATACTAAATTGAAATTTATTTAACCGTCGAGAAATTTTGCGATTGATTTTGATTTGAGGCTACCCAATTCGAGAATACATCCCTGCAAAAATAGAGACATCGATTAAGATTTTAAGATTTGGTTTGATGATTCGAATTGATTTTGTGATTTGTGTCGATGTGTATTTACCTGCAATGGCTGACTACACATTCATTGCTGCAATACTCGTCCTCCCATTCGGCGTTGGCGATGGCAGGATTGGGGCAGCCATGGCGGATGCAGGAGTTAGCAGGTCGCATCTGCGACTGCTGTGGTACGGACGTGGGCACTGTAGGTGCAGGTGCTGAGGCCGGGGGGCTGCTTGAAACCATTGGGGGGGGACTGACATGTTGCTGCTGCTGCATATGCTGGGGTGGAACTTGTTGCGGCTGAGGAACCTATGGCAAAATACTGCTGGTTTTAGGACAATTTATCCGGTTCCAAAGGGTCGGAGCTGTGGGTGGTGGAGGGAGGGTCAATAACAAAGGTGCAACAGAAGACTTGAACATGGACGTGAGGAACTCCATTGCAGCTCTGCTATTTACTGCAGATTTAAGAAACTCACCTGTTGCATGTAATTATTACTATGTTGTTGTTGCTGCTGCTGCATGTGTGGCGGCATGCTCATGTGATTTGGCACCTGGCCCATTGGTGATTGGATCATGCTCGGATGTTGCTGGTTGTTCATGTTCGTCATCATGGGCGGTTTCTTGACGTGGGGGCTCTGCTGGCTCGGAGACGTTGCTGTCGAGGACATTGGTGGTGATGGGAGTGTGTTCTGCGGAGAGTATCCTCCGTACTGGGGTCCACCAGCATTGTAGTTTCCGTAGCCACCATACATGCCTTCACCTTCTCCGGCACCCTTCGACACGAGACTCGCCCTGTACGCTGCCAATGCCTTCAAGTACTCCTTCTTCGCCGCCTCCGTCTTCTTCTTGTACACGTTCTTGTGCTCCGAATCCAGGGCATCCCACATAGACGCAACGATCTTCGACACTTCGCCGAAACTTGCGTTCGGGTTCTGTCCTTTTATGGCTGCCTGAGTATCGCGGAAGAACAGTGCGTAAGCCGAGACGGGCCTGAAAATACACAGCAATTAGTACAGATTCGATGAGAGCATTATAAAAATATAACAGACTTTTTGATCTCACTCATAATTACAAACAAACACGGCCACCATTCTGTTTACATCGCGAACCTAACCTCACAAACTGACAACCGCAATGGTCGTCGTCGTCGTCTTTCGAACGGACCAATGGCAGCGGACCGAAACCGCGCCGCATTCAAAAAATAAAACAAATGAAACGACCAAGGGTGGGCGGATGGGAATGTAATGCACGAGATAAAATTTAAGTGCGTTGAATATTCATAAAATAATTAGAAGCGCCAGAACGTATATATTTGCATATCGGATATGCGGGTGCGAGGGACAGAGACAGAGAGAGAGAGGCGAATTAGAAATTTCAGCGTCCGCCGCAAACAAAACAATTTTCATTAATTAACCCAATTCATGGAAACAACATTAATTACATGGTGTCGTCGTGTGTTTCTTATTCCTCTTTTTTAATTTTAATTAAATTGGAATTCGTTCCGTTGACCCCTGCCTGAAAGAAGGAGAGCTCACCCAGCCTCCTCCTTTTCCTCCTCCTTCACACAACCACAACATTCAAACGCAGAAATTTAAATACGAATCTAAACCTAAAGACAATTCCACGAATTGCATCCATACGCATTCAGTTTCATACTTTACATTCATTAATTGAAGTTTTAATTGTATCCACAACCACATTACGTTAAAAACCAATAAAAATATACGCCGAAGGTCAATAAAATGCCAATGAATTACTATTAATGATTCACATCAAGAGGTCTCTCCACGATGTTAATGACAACACGAACAAAAGAGATGTTTCTATTCCAAGGATGATGACATCCAAAGAATTTAACTGAATAACACGAGAAAAACTTTCAACAAATTATGAAATCTCAGTGCAAAAAAAAAAACCTCAAGCAAAAATAACAGCGATACTGCTGTTTTTCCTTTTATTATTGCAACGCTCGTAATAACTTTTCCACGAACGGTACGAGATTACGAGAAATGCTAATAGGAAATTAGCTTCAGAATGCGAACGCGAAAATAATAATGAGAATTGAAACGACTTTGCACGTAATCGAACAATTACCAGGTAAATTAGTCACCTTAATTGTTGAACAACAACAAAAAAAAAATATATAAAACCAACAACGAGAACAATATTTGTTATTTTGAGAATGATTGATTTGCTTGCGCGCGTGAACAAACAATGAGTAAATTTCGATAAAGAAATTAGCAGAATTGGAAATTTTCTAGCTGCGATTTTGATTGAATCGAGAGAATTAATTATTTCAATATCTTTCGGCCAAAGTAATGTGACTTTCTTCGTGGAATATGTAGTATTGTTGTGGATGTGCAATTTTTTTCGAGCAACAAACAATAAAGTTGATGGCTCCTAAAGAAAAAGCTGCAGCTAAGGTTTTAGTGAAAAATCGATGCGAAAATTAATTACGAACTCTCTCGCGCGCGCCTGCAATAAAACTGAAGCTGTTGGAGATGGGTGTAGCACGAGGGTAACGAATATAAATTTACACCTCTCCCAGGGAAGAAATAATCAGCTTTGAAAAGTTTTAAGCTCTCGCGACTGGAGAGAACAAACAAACAAAAAAGAAAGAAAATGGGAACAACGAAACAAAGAGTGGTAGGAAAATTTCTGAATGAATAAATAAGGAAAGTTACCGAATGAGAATTCATGAGAGAAAATAATAATAATAAAGGTGCCGGAATCGAATTTACATTTTATAGTGGAGATAAAACATGTAGCGGAATTAAGGCCATCAATATTTCAAAAGAAAAGAATACTACATAGTATGTAAAAGAAAATTGCAACAATAAATCTGCTGTTACAACTCGCGCGCACGGCGAATGTTAGAGGGTTTTATGGGCCATATAAAGGCGAATGCGCCCCTCGGTTTGGGGGGCCGATGTTCTCCATCTCCACCACCTACTTCTTCACAAACCACCACCCCTCGCGCACACTAAACCGGCATTCTAGACAACTTTAATGCCGTTTAATAGTGGGCAGAAAAAAAATCAATACTTAATAATACACCCACTGCACGATGTACCCAAATGTGTGTGCGCGTTCGTATTAAGGGTGCTTTTTCGAGCTACAAAACCTCCTCCTCGCAGCCGCATGAATATTAATGCAAAATTACTTTCGCAGTCGCCGCATTAACACTGTTTACAAATTCGTTCCTAAAATGGAATTATGCAGGGAGACGTAAAGAACAAAAGTGAAAAATAATGAAATTGCACACGAAAGTGCACTTACTTTTGTGGCTCGTTCGGGTCCCTCTTCTTCTTCTTCTTCTGGACCTTGGGCTTCTTCTGAACCTTGGCCAACGATTCGGTCGGCTCCGGCGAAGGCCTCTTCATCGCCGTCATCTGCAACACGAAGAGAAAAAAAAATGAGATTCATCAATAACAAAATCGTCAAACAAAATTGATTCATCGATCCCATATATTTTAATGAGAGAGATCAAATCACATCAGATTCAATTAATTATGAGAGCGTATATAATAATTATTATTATATTTCGCATTAAAATGCATTTAAATGCGAATGCAATCATCGGGAGGAATTTTATTTCATTTCATTTCATTTAAATACACATCCGTCGCTGCTCGATGCACACGTACATTTATTATATTATATAAATAAATGGGGGATTTAAAATCGCATTGGGAATATTCGACGGCGTCTATTTATGGGAGGCCGGAGGATTTATTCTAAATGGAATTCGAATTGAAAGGGAGATGCAAATGTTGTGCAGCAGCAGCAGCAAGCAGCCATTCATTAAGAGCATACACGGAGCAGAATTTGTCGAACAAGACTGCCTCACATAATTAATTCCTGCTAAAAGGGAGAAGAGAGCAAGAATTACACCTCTGTATCCGTAGCAGATGGCTGCATCTCTTTTATAAGTAAATAAGTATCGAATGACTGGGAATTTATTTTTGATTATTTTCATTAATTATGAATGTATGCAGAAATGTGTGCGGTGCAAATTGAAATTTGAAGAATCGCTGATTTAAAACGTCACTTCTTGGAAAACCGTTTGAATGTTCAAGCATCGCGTGCAGCACTTAGCTAAATGGTATGTATGGACGAGTGGTAGCTTATTACTGATAAAATTGGTAACTTACCATAGCTGGATGTGGAGTGCTGTCATCGCTATCTTCGCTTGTCGTAGGTTCTTGTCCAGGAGCAGGAGGACTGTTCCCTCTTCCTTGAGGATGCTGCGGGGATGTCCCGTATTGTCCCATATTGGTGCCGGGAGGTGGCTGAGGGTGTCCCATCATCATCTGCTGCTGATGATGTTGCTGCTGCTGCTGCTGTTGTTGTTGTTGTTGCTGCTGTTGCTGTTGTTGCTGCTGTTGCTGCTGTTGTTGTTGCTGCTGTTGAATCATAAGCAGCTGATTATTATGCTGCTGCTGCTGTGTCGGACTCATGTTGTAGTTAGCCTGAGGGCTGTGGTAAGACGGATTGACCATCCCATGGTCCGGCCCGGAAAGGTACAGCGGCTGCTGGTATCCGCCGGTCGGATCGTGCATGCCCATGCTCTCCTGTTGCATGTTCATCTGCGGCGGAGGTTGATAGTTCATGTTCTGCTGATCGGCAGGAACACCTCCGTGCTGCTGTTGCTGCTGCTGCTGCTGCTGCTGTTGTTGGGGATTGATGGCTGGTATATCGAACTCTTCGTCCCCGAAGCTGGGCGTATGAAAAGTCTGCGAAGCAACAAATTGTTATTATCATATGTATAGATATTAAAAAAGAAGAGGGATGAAAAGAGTTTTCCGGTCGCGCATTATTCATTGCATTTAATTAGATGGAATCGTAAATTTCGGCGGAGCGTAATAAAAATGAGTAAAAGCTGATTTATAATGTTCATATAATTCTTCTTTATTTTCATACAAAGTTATGGGCCATATTTCTTTGCCTGCCAAATAAATTACATCCAACGGGTATTCAGCTCAACTCTATTAAACTTCGTTCCGTAGGTCACCGCGACGAGCGCTCGCGTTCAAAAAGCCGTTCTCCTCCATCGAAGAGGGCGGCCGTCCCTCCACTTGCGTTTCGTTTCAAATTCAAGACATTTTACACACAAAAAAAAATACAAAACGGAATAAATATATATAATACGTATATATTATAATTATGATCCCGAAACCCTTTGAGAGAGAAGAAAAGAAAAAAACGTAATTTGTACGTTAATTGCACGTTGGAAAAAAAATAAATATAGTTGGGAGAGAGAGGATAAACAGTTGCTCCGATTAAAATTTCGTCTTCAGTTTATAATTCCGAGCAATTTAGATAAATATTTATCTTGCATCCTCGACGGGTTTTTCCAGGGGAGGCTTATCGTCTGTTCGAAGGGAGATACGCGCCGTAATGGGAACGTTTTTATCGTGTATTTAAGATTAAAAATAAACAAAACGAGATTTGTGGATTTGGGGTGGGTACGAAAAAGTACAGTCTCGGTTCTCGTGGACCAACAAAGATCCGCCACTTGTCTGCAAATGTATTGCACGTATTACCTCCAGCACGTAGGGTTTGGAGCGCGCCAATTCGCGGAAGGATTTATGGCGCGAGCCGGGATAATAAATTGTATTCCATTTCGCGTTTAACGCACTGCATATTTCCGATGAGGAGTGCATAAATCGCGGGACGCGATATTAATTAAAACCGCCGGTTTTCGAAATGTTTGCATTATTCACGTCTCTTGCTAATCTTGATGATCTGAACTTGAGAGCATGAGAAGTTATTTAGAATTAAGAGGGAAAATAATGCGAATAATTTGCTAGTAGTGAAGAGGTCGAAAAGGCGAAGCAATGTCAAAAGTCAAGCCGAAGAAGAGAGACCACACACGCACGCACGCATTCAGAAATCATAATTCTAAAGAGAGAAGGAGGCCACGGAAAGGAAAACAAATGCAAGAGTACGAAAAGACGAAATGCGAGGTATTCAATTTAGAAGAGCGAAGTTGGCGAAGCCGACCGGGAGAGAGATGATTGATACGAGAGAGCTGAAAGGTTCAATGCCCAATGCGAAGGTCAAAATTGTGCCTCTCTTCGCGCGCGCACAAGACACGCAACAATCGTTTGAACTAATGATTATTCAAAGCTAAGCGCTAATTAAGAAGAAACGACGACAATAATAAAGAGAGTAATGTAATTATTATTACCTGGTCACTCATGTCGTAGCCGTTATTGGGGAAATTCGAGTTCGGTATGCTCAGTGACAAATCAACGTTTTCGGTTCTCTGCAACAGAAAAACAAAAGAGAATTGTTAATATTTATATGTAAAAAACAAAAAATAAAATCAAATTGTTTCCGAAACAATGAAAAAAAAATCATTACAATTGGCCATGGTACACTTGATTGATCCATTTCGATTCGTCACTATTTTAATTCCAAAAAAAACAAGAGCACAAAACGTGTATTAATAAACTGGATCACTCGAAAACAAAAGCAAAAAAAAAGGCGAATTAACACACCCACGCACACTCACTATATAGTATTAGTATTAGTTAGCGCAGTCAGTGTATTCCACTGTTCGCACCGTTCGAATCGCGAAAGCAAAATGCGACGACAAATCCGGTTACGTTAACAACATTATCCCTTGTGTTCGATGCATATTTTTCACCTTTTTTTTTTTTTCTCTCTTCATTGGTAGCCCTTCCCAGCAAATACACACCCCCGAACGAAACCCCACCACCTCTTGTATTTGCCATAACAAATGTTTAATAACCTATTATAAAGTGATAAAACTGAAATGATGTTTCCGAGAAGAAAGTGCTTGTCCCCCGAAAAGGATCAGATTTTCTTAAAGTTTTTCTCACAGAAGAAAGAAAAAAAAAACGTATTCACTTTCCCTAGAAAATTCTCACAGTTCATATACATCGCACGTTAATTTATAAATATGATTAATTGTATAACAAATTTATACAACGCGTCAAGGATTTGATGTTGAACGCAATAATAAATTAAACTTCTACTTGTTCTTGAGATAAGACTAAATGTTCATTGGTCTTAGCTAACAGAAACACGTGAGAATGAATTGCGATGAGAGAACGTAAATCGTGGTAAAGGCTAAAGTAAATATTTAATAGGACGAACGTTGTCCGTAAAAACCGGACAAATCTTTGCGTTTCGAACGTTTGCATTGTGCTTTATCAGTGCGAGCGATTTTTCGATGCTGTTAATTTCCAATTTAATCTCGCAACGCGCAATTCCGGGACAAACACACAATTATAATTTTAATTAATATTCGCGCTCCGCGAAAAGGGATGAAAACCACTCCGAACATTTCTCTCTGTCTCTATTTTACTCTTTAGCCCTCTTCCACTCATAATTCACAAAAGCGCGCCCTTTCATCCCGATCTGTTTGCGTTTTTCTTCCCTCCAACCTTTGTTTTATTTATGTATTTTTTTTGGTTGTTGATTATCGAAAACGCTGAGCTCGATGAAAACAAATAACAGAAGGGGATGATGTGAGTGTGTGTGTTTGTGTACGCGAGCGTTTTGTGAATTTGAATAATGAGAGATTAAAAGTAAACACAGACGACGAGGGATGAGGCAGACGGGTTTTTTTTTTTGGAAAGAGAAAATGCATTTTCGTCGGTGCACTTTCAAACTGAATTATAATTCGCGTCGCGTCCGATGGGGCTGTTTCCCTTCTACACACACACACGTCCACGATTTTTTGGATTCGGTTTAAGCCAAACAAAACGGAATTAAATATTTCCATTACGCAATAGTTACATTTCAACGTTTGCCGTGTTTAAGTTGTTCAAAATTGAAAGATTTATTGTTCGTTTTCGAGAGAAACAACCATACACTTAAGAGGAAAGTCTGGGCCCTTTTATTCTTTGATGTTGCGCCGTCCGGTGTCTCAAGGTTCCTTTTTTTTTTTGGCGGAAGACGACTTTGATCTACATAATTATCAAGAGAACCCAAATACTATAATTCCGAAGAACACAAAATTATTTAATTAAAAAAAAGAAAACTTTAACGTAACGAATATTATTCAATTAACAAAATCATTAACAACAACGAAACAATCTCGTTAAATCTATTCAAGTAATATTAATGGAAAATTGGAGCTTAAGTGCACGACTGTGTGTTTTTTCTGCGTTACGGTAAATGCGATTTTTCGACATGGCAATTTTCCTTGCGGGAAATAAAAAACACACACACGCCGAAAGAGGAAATTAAATTATTCTTGCGTGTAATGAAATAAATTTCCAAATACGAAATACTGGATGCGGAAAATGACTGGATTTACTGTGGTTTTTATTAAAGAATTTGAAGAATTAACAAAACCAAAAAATTAACTCGACAATTATGTAATTAGTAATGGAGGAAAATGATTTATAGAAATAAGGAAGTATTAATTATTAAATTGATAATAAATGAAAGAAATTTCCAAGGAAACAATGGATATAATTGGCTACGACCGGAAATTTTCCATTTTCCTTCGCTCATTTTCATTTTCTTTTCACTTCTCTGAAATTGCACGCCTCTAATGACCGTTGTTTTTTTCTTGTTTTAATTTCAAAAGAAAAGAAATGATGACCGTTTGACTGCGTCGAATAAATAAACGCGACACGCGAAAAGCTTTCCCAACTTATTACCGTAATTAAAAGAAAATTGTTTTGGAAAAACGTAATAGATTTTATTTCTTCCGCGAAGCTAAATGTTATCCGTTTCGCCCCAATTCACTGGCGAAATACCAAAAGGCGACCTTTTATAATGTGTTTAGGATAATTAACTAATCAATGTTGTATAGATGGAAATTTTAAAAGGAAAACACTTATTAGTTGAAAGTGAGGAGGAGAGAAATTTAATTAAAAAAGTTTGAAATTAGTTTTTTTTTCTTGTTGTAATTTAGCTTTCCTTCAAAACACACACAGCCTCGTTTTCATTTATGATCAAAGTTTTGCGTTTAATTAAATACGATAAGATGAAAATTAAATTACTCTAATAATAGTAAATTGGATTTCGCGTTCCCTTCTTTTTTTTATTATTATTATTTCTCGCTTCGAAGAAAACCACCTAAACTGCACACTCTCAGAATATATATGTATAAAGAAAGAAAGAAGGAAAAAAGGGCACATCTCAAGTTAAATTAAGAAAATTTACGGCAGCTGCGAGAGAATAAGAATGTGAATGAGACGAGAGAAGAAAAGTTTTTGATGGATTGGATTTGTTCCGCGATTTATTTATTATTTCCCTCCGCTTGGGGGCAAAATCATTTCGCTCTCTCACCCTCGTCGAACAGGTGATTAAAATAAAGTGAAGAATCCAATCGCAAAATGTTGAAAAGAAGCGAGAAACTTTCCATCGAAATCAAATTAAAAACTAATACCCGCCATCTAAGCTACAACCATCAATCAAAAGCTCGTGTATTTGTTTTTTGTTTTTCTTTTGTTTCAAAACACACAGATCAATGCTATCTGCAGCTTCCGGAATCAGATTGGAAAAGTTGTTGTAACTACATCATTTCGAAATCGTTGTTTAAAGAAACGAACGCGATTAGTGTTTAACACTTGTGGACACGTTAATAATATTTCGAGTTTGCTTGCTTTTCACTCGAAAGTTCTGTTAATTCCGTCAAAGAGAGCTATAACGCCGCGCATTACAGTTAATTAAACATCGAATTGGTAAACGCTATATGTTAAAAGCAAAGTTTCCAAGAGTAAAACGAAAATAACTAGATATAATAATGTGAAGGCAAACAGAAAAGAAAGAGTGCTTGCTGTAGTGTAGTCATAGCAACAATAACAACAGAAAACGCTTTATCTGTAATAGAAATCGGAATATTAACAAATTTCGTTTCTCTCTCTATACTAATTTTCGTTTCGGCCGTAATCTTAATACGATCGACCTAGAAAGTCGGTTTATTTATTATTTCATGAATTTAAGTAATGGTAATCTCACCGTTCTTCTGCTGCTGCTGCTGCTCTCGACCCTCCCACCAATTAACTTTAATTTCAGTGAAAAAAAAACCTCGCAACCTATGATTTACAAATTCCGATCCCAGCACGTTGCTATAGACACGCGTGCGCCCTCCATCTCTTTCTCTATCCAGGGATGAAATATTACTAAAAAAAAACAGTTACCAACTGTGTAAACGAATTACGTTTAACGTCTTCTCTCCTTAGCACGAGATTATTTAATTAGTTACCAACTGCGAAAACGAATTCCCCCAAAAAAAGGAATTTGATTTGAATTCGTTACGTCTTTAATACGAGATTGTTTAGTTTAGCTAAAGTGAAAGTCTCGGGGGGGCGTTGCGCAATCTCTTGAGATTTGCCAAGAAAACTGGTTCTCGCGTTTCAGAACTACTCGTTCCCAAATAAAAGTGATACATGTGTGCTATGAGAAACAAATGGATAAAAAATGGGGGACGCTAAATGAAAATCGAGGGCGTTATGAAACTACTTCTTTTTTTTTTGTGTGTGTTGTTGTTTCGAATGGACACGGAAGTGGAACGGCCTTCGCAGTTAAACGGGAATAATGGCCGGAAGCTAACAGTTTAAAGCGAATTGGAAAATATTAAATAAAGCAAACTTCGTTCTGAAACATGCATACGTATATAAATGAGATGAATCAATTAAAAAAGAAATTTTTCAGTTGAGAAATCTTAACAAGGAGAAACTGCACAATTGTTGTATTGGAAATACAATGAAATCAAATCAAAATTTAAATTATGATTGAATTGAAACGCACGAATTTCAATCCAAACAACGAAAAAAAAAAAACAAAATGAAAAATTCCTTTTTGTTTTAGAAAGTTTATCTCAAGTCCTACTAGATTGTACAAGCAAGCGATTCATTCGACATTGATTTTAATTGATGTTAATCTTGCAACAACTGCGCCAACTAATTAGCAGTATTTCAATTGGAATTGCGAAAGAAATGAAATAGGAAAAATAATATGCGTTTTGGTTTTTCGTAATCATCCAAGTTTATGTTTGCAAAGAGAAGAGGTAATTCTAAAAAGAATTGGAAAGTGGATTAATGGAAGATTATTAAATGGAAATATGAAATATTCTATTAGTATGTAAAGTAAATGTTGTTGTTGAATAAGAAATTCTGCGGCCTAACGTAAACAACCTTTTATAATTTTCATTAATTAGTCCCGTGGAAGGGAAACATCCTTTAATGATATACAATGTAGACAGGGATCTAGTAGGCAGAGCGAGCGATCGTTATACATATTAAAGTAATAATGAATAATAATGCAACACGAAAATTA